AAAGCTCAAAATAGAAATACCATTTGACCCAGGAACTCCACTTCCAGGAATTCACCCTAAGAATGCAGCAGTCCAGTTTGAAATAGACATATGTACCCTTATGTTTATCACAGCACTATTTACAATAGCCAAGATATGGAAGCAACCTAAGTGTCCATCAGTAGATGAATGGATAAAGAAGATGTGGCACATACACACAATGGAATTTTATTCAGTCATAAGAAGAAAACAAATCCTACCATTTGCAACAACATGGATTGAGCTAGAGGGTATTATGCTCAGTGAAATAAGCCAGGCAGAGAAAGAAAAGTACCAAACGATTCCACCTATATGTAGAGTGTAAGAATAAAAAAAAACTGAAGGAACAAAACAGCAGCAGAAACACAGAACCAAAGAATGGACTAAGAGTTACCAAAGGGAAAGGGACTGGGAAGGAGGGCTGGGGAGGGAAAGATATGGGTGTGGAGGGGGGGAAGAAAGGGGGCATAATGATTAGCATGTATAATGTGGGGATGTGGGGCGGGGGGCACCTGGAGGGCTGTGCAACACAGAGAAGACAAGTAGTGGTTCTACAGCATCTTACTGTGCTGATGGACAATGACTGTAATGGGATTTGTGAGGGGGGGACGTGGTGATGGGGGGAGTCTAGTAAACATAATGTTCCTCATGTAATTGTAGATTGATGATACTGAAATAAAAAATAAAAAATAAAAAAAATCCTTTGCTGGCTCCCATTGCAGGGAATATAATTTCTTTGTGATTTATCTCCAGTCAACTCAGTAGGCACAACTTCAGCTATCCTCCCCTTGTCCGTTTTCCACATATGCTATACCTGTTAAAGAGAAGTTAGGCTGACACTTGTTAAACCTGGCAAAGAAAACTACGAGACTATTGCAACAAGGAAGAGTGTATCATCATAGGGAAGAGAAACTGACCTCAACCCAGGGTGCAGCAAGGACAGCTGGGGACAGCAGCCAACAAGCAGAGTGAGGAGTTGTTAAAGACAAAAGATTCAGTGATACTTGTTAGAGATGGTAAGGAGGACTTGATTCAAGGGGAACATATGATGGGTCTATACACCACTGCAGTAGGATCTTGCAGCAGGGGAAAGAGAGACTGAATACAATTCGATCTGAATACAATAAGAAGTGGGAATTACAGCCAAGGAGCTGCGTGGGAGTCAGTGGATGGAAAATCATGAGGAAGCACCAGGAATAACGGGGACTTCTGGCTTAACGTATCTAATAGGATTCTTGCTAAGAGGCAAGTCAGGGTAATGAGACATTACTGGGGAATAATAGAAGATGAGGAACCTAAATAGATATTGAAGCTGATCAGATATGGAGAACAGGGTCTGGGTAAACTGACTTAGTGGCATTCTTGCTAAACTGAGAATCCAGGGATGAACATGGAAGTCCAAAAGTCAGGGCCTACTTGAAAAGAGAGCTCCCAGGAGCCTCATTAGAGCTTGGCCAAGGAGACCCCAACTTTGTCAGGGGTCAGTGCACAGAGAATTAGTAAGAGGAACTTGATTCGATTTCAAAGGTAAGGGGTTTCTTATCAAAGGAAGACCAGAGTGATTAGAGAACAAGGCTAGAGGGACTTCCCATAAACTAGCTTAGCAGGATCTTTGCTAAAATTGGGCTCAGCAGGCTAAGGGCAAGGCAGAAGCGAAGTTGAGGTCTAGTACAGAAGAGGGCTCAGAGGAGCCTGCCTAGAAGGAGGGCGTCTTTGCCACCCCCACCCCAACATGCTGTGCTATGCTGTTTGTATCTCCATGTCTTTGGCCATTACATGTCCTCTCTCAGAAATGATATTACGCTCTTGTTGGAATTAAAAAGCCTCTTCCTCTTGTTCTTCAACACCCAGAGTCATGACTTCACATCAGTATGGCTGGACCTGACCACCACACTCTCAGCAGAGGTCATTTCCTCCTCTTCTGAAGCATTTTTGTTACTATATTTAAATTATTCGTTAACATATCTTTCTCTCTATTTAGAAACCATAAGATCCCAAAATCAAGAACTGAATTACAGCACCTGGAACAAAATGTACTGGGACAACTGGATAATCCTTTAGAATTCAGTCCACACTTCACACCACATCCAAAGTAAACTCCAAATACATCAGACATTTAATATAAAATATGACAACATAGCGGTTCAAAAAAGGTAAATTTTTATATAACCTGTGTGTATGGAAACGCTTTCTAAATATGAGCAAAAAGTCCTGATTGAACAAAAACTTAACTAATTTAACAATATCAGAAAATCTTTTCCATGACTAAATCATTGTTAGGTGGGGTCAAATACCAATTAACAAGTGGGAGGAAAAATTTTATAACACACATCCAGCATAAAGGACTACTACTCCTAATATTTTAAAAAATCTATTAAAATTGAGGAATGAAGCTATGGACATGCACACACAGGAAGAGCAGGCAGCTATAAGATGCGATGAGCAAGACAACTACAAACTAATCTTTAGTGAATTCTGATATTACTAAGTAAATAGAGCAAAGTACATAGCGTGCTGACTTTTAAGAAAAGAGAAGGGGAAAAGAATAAAAATACATGTGTATCTTCATTTCTTTGCCAAAAAAAAAAAACATAGGGAGAGAGTGGGGGAAAATGAGACAGACTCTTCACAAGGTTGTTGTTCGAAAAGCATGGAAGTTCAGGAAAGTTGGTGATAGGTCTGTGGATTTATATTTTTACATAGGTCAGGTTTTGAAAGCATGTCAGTGTTTTATATAACAAATTTATACCTCAACTTAAAAAATGGAGGGAAAACATAAAATGGAATACAAACAAATGGATTTAAAACATTTTTTTAAAGGTGTACCATAATCCCTATGTAGCAAAAATTAAATAAAGAAATGAAACAATTCCATTTTGTACACAGTGCACTCTTTGTACTGTCAATCCAAAGAAAAAAAGAAATGCAAAAAATCTTGTATTCTCTTGAGCAGGTTTCTTTTTCACAGTTGGTGGATCAGTATACAAGAACCTTCTTTCAGTGCATGGTATGATTGAGCAAGTGAGTAAAAATACCAAAGATGCTGAGAGTTAGATTCTTAATTTGGAAAATGGGTTTACAAATGTGGAAATGGGAAAGTTAGCAACAGCTCTGTGGTGTTGTACTAGAATTCATTCATATCAGTATGAATTCATTATTTGTTATAAACTAAATATAAACATAGCTCTGAGGAGAGATACAGGTATGTGATATTTATACCCATGTCTGCATCTGTACTTTCGTGAATGTCCATCGAAAAGGGATTATAAACAGTGGCACTTCATTAGCAATGAACATTTCCCCCAATGACATCCAGGTTTCCAAACATTCCCTACTAAAGGGTTCCTTAAGATATGGATGCTTTTAAGACAGGGACAAAGAAAAGTACAAGATGAGTCTGGAAATCATGTGCAAGAAATAAAGGAAAAGTTCCAAAATGATGGGAGCGGGGCAAGCCACAGGACCAAGCCAGTAAATAATGGTAGTGAGAGATTATATCCCATTGAATAAATATGGTTCCAGGTGGAAAAACTGATAACAAATAAATAGAAATACATAAGTAGGAAAGGAAATAGATAGGTTAGCAATTAAACAGAATCCACATGAGATACAAACGAGGAAAATGGAGTTAAAAATTCATTAATCTGCCACCATGGCAATAATCATTGATTCAGGAAGAAATGTAAAAGATGATAATATGAGTAGAATTTGATGAGGAACAGAATATTTACGTTTTGAAAATGTCTCCCTACAACTTGTTTCTTCACTAGAGTATAAAAACTAGTAACTTTACAATTGAGAGTCTTGGTAGACACCACTTTACACAAGAGATCAAAGTTATCTTCACTGATAACGGGGGCATCTGGCATCATGTGCTTCCTGTCTGAGATGGAGCCAAAGTCAGCTTTGCATTTTTCCTGAAAAAAACCTTAAACTGAAGTATAATAAGAAAACATCAGACAAACCCAAATCGAAAGCCATTTTACAAAATTAATGGTTTGTGCTCTTTAAAATGCCAATGACATGAAAGAAAATGAAGTCTGAGAAGCCAATCCTTACTAAAGGAGATGTAATAGACATGATACTTAACATAATGTGTGATCCTGGATTTGCTCCTGCACCAGAACATTCATATTACTATGTAGGGCATTGGGAGAATGGGTGGAATTTGATAAGGTGTGCAGATAAGGTGATGTGATTACGTTAATGCTTAATGGCACCTTTGTGATGCACAGATGATTTTTTTCACTGGGAAGTAAAATATTTGAAGATTTTAATCGTCAACATGTATATATGTAGTCATGTGATGACATGAGTATAGCACAAAAATAGATGGATGTACGTACAGGAAAAAATGGAATAAGATTGGGAGAATTTAAAAAACTTTCTGATGAACACTTTCAAGCACTTACAGAAGTAGAACGTGGTGCTCAACACCCTTCCGATTTTATGATGCTCATGCAGAATTATAGGTGCAGCTTTGCAAATTCAGTTCTCCAGGTAAACACCTGGACTTCAACAGGTGGTTAATACTAAGCAGCTGTATCACCTTTAATGAATAAGTTTCTTTCAAAGAAACTCTGAGCAGTAAGTGTAGGTCATTTTTCTTTTGGGAGTGAGTCTTCTCCTGGGACCTTGAACACTACAAGAGATTTTAAGCAGGTATATGGGGAATCGGGAATGGGGAAGGCTGTTTGAGATGATTAGAGTTGTCAGAAAGGTGATGGGGTCCCGTAACTTCGGGTCGGATCCCTGAAGGGACATGGTTCCCAGTCACTTGGAGGTGACCTTTCTTTGACGTGATTTCCTAAGGTCTCTACCCACCACTCCTGGCTCACAGTATTGTCAAAGAGGAAAGTGTAGTGATTACAAGGACACGGACGGGTTAAGGATCAGCTCACCAAGTTTTTCTTCCCACTGCCCTTGGTAGGGGAGGTGAGGACAGAATTTCCAAAGGAGCACACACCCAGGGAGGAGGGGCAGAGGGAGAGAGAAGATAAAGATAGGCGGGATCAACTTCCAGCGCCAAACCTTGCCTGTCTGCGCGCGCGTGTCCGCCTGGGCTCAGGACCTTTGAGGGGCTCAGGTTGCGGGGCGCGCAGCCCGGGACTGGGCTCCAGCTGCGCGGGGGCGAACATGGCGGGGCCGCGGGCGCTGTTTCTCCTGGGCTTCCTCGTGCCCGCGCTCCTGCTCCCGGAGGCCGCCAATATCCTGACCGTGTCCTCACTGGGTGAGTGCCCTGCCAAGTATCCCGAGACAGGCGCATCCCGGGCACCGGTGCCAGGGCTCGGGCCAGCAGCCCTTGCACAGCGCGCCAGCGCCTGTGGTTTCCCCGACCGGGCTTGTGTCCCAGGCTGGAGGAGGGAGAGGCGGCGGGGGCTGTGGCGCCGGGGCTGTGGCGCCGGGAGGGGGCTCCACCTCCCGGAGAAGTGAGTTCTGGAGAATCACTCGTTTCCTGCGCACTCCTAAAACTCTGGACGCGCGTCCCATTGTGCGCATCTGCGACCAGTAGTTGTGATCCAGGGCTGAACTGGAGACCGCGGGCCGCCTGCTCCAGGGCACTGGAGGCTCACCCCTAACTTTAGCTGGGCGCGGTGGGTACCAGCAGCAAGTGCGAGGCGGAGTCCATTTCAGGCCCTTGGAGGCCGAGAACGGGTGCTCCTGGGGCAGTGGTGCAAATTGGGATGCTTCATAAATAGGAAACCTGGGGATCCCAGGCAAAGGAGGGGACCTGGGGCAAGGGAGTCCTTGGGCTGGGGGTCTCTCTCTCACCTGTCCTGCTAGAAGTTTTGACAGTGAAGCAGTTAATTCTGCATATTGTGGACATAGTTTTACTTCCTTTCCTTTTGCCCAAAAGGGAACAGATGACGAACCCGAAATCTTAATCAAGATAAGGAGTCAGTATAGGATGGAGTTTCCCCAAGATTTATTCAACCCATCCTGAAGCCTTCTGGGTTTCCTCATTCAACCCATCCTGAAGCCTTCTGGGTTCCCTCATTCAACCCATCCTGAAGCCTTCTGGGTCCCCTCAGTCCTTGCATTTCCTGAGAGGGAACCTGAGGTTAGGGAAATGAGGTGCCCTGTGCAAGAGCCCCGTGCATCTCCCGAAAGGCACCCGGGCAATTTACCCAGGATTTCTTAGTCAAAACCATCCTCTTCCACAGATTCCACTCTGTCACTCGTTACAGTGGGGATTTCTTAAAATCAGCACTTAAAAATCCTTTGCCACATTTTTAAGCCTTTTTTCTTTTCCTCAAATTTTATGATAGAGACAATGGAGAACAGAACCGTCTACTCCTCTGAAAAGTACCTGCTCCCCTGTCTCCGACTGTGCAGGGAGCTGATGGCGCTTTGGGAGGTGCTAGAAGCCTGGCCTCTGCCCCTTAAGGGCTCTGGCTCACCGAGACCCACATGACTGGCCGTGTCTGTAGGGACCCGTTCCATCTGCACCCATTTCCTCCACAAGTTATATGTGAGCAAGAGCAGGCGGCAGGCAGAGCGGTAAGGGAGTTGAGTTTTTTGTCAGTGGTGTTCCCTCAGGCAACACAAGTGTGATAGAAGAAGTAGAGTAATTGCCAGACATGCACACTATCTCTGTAGTGCTCTCCTCCTCTCTGCTGACCCAGTCACATGGGCCATCCTCTCCCAAACACCCTCCACTTCCCATCTTTGGCAAAATCTATGCCTTCTCTCTGGTCTGGATTTTCCTGCTGCTGAGACCCATAGATTCAAGAGAGACGGCCCAGGATGGATGGCACAGAGTTTTAGGCAGACGTGGTGTGATGGGTCTTGGACCTGTCTGGAGGATTAAGCTTCTCTTTCCTTAGAGTCCAAGAGTGGTCCCCCTCTGAGGGATGCTCCAGTGTCCCACGCACACAGGATCCTGCAGACCGGGCCCTTGGACCCCACAGTCATCCTGAATGTCTTAATTGATGTGCAAAATACAGTCCCCAACTGGCTCTAAGTGTTGGCTCCACATGCTTTCCCTGCAACAGCTGTTTCTTGGACTCAAATTCAAGCCCCTATGTTTCTGCCTCCTACACTATAATAAATTTCCAAAGAGGAGCATCCCAGAAATAGCTCTGGTTGATTGTCTGTTCGGACCCTTAGCACTGTGCTACAATGACCACCAGCGCTCTCTTTTCTTTAGGACGTGGTGTCTCCATGAGCCCGACTAACGTGAAGCTTGTGCCTCAGGGTCGGTAACTCCCGACACCTAAGCCCAGAGAAGCTTCTCACACTGACGGAGAGACAGAGTCAAGGGAGACCAAAAGGGTGTCTCTGTCAGTAAAGGAGACAAAGTGTCCTCTTGTGGAGGACCGGCAGAGGCCAAGGTTCCGGGCAGACAGGGGCAGGCATCTGTGCTTAGGTTACGCAGAGTGAGGAAGAGGGACTGAAGAAACTCATCTTCCTTTCTTCTCTATCAATTTTCTGTTGGCTTACCCAGATTTCCCTCCTGCCACCTCACAACACTTTCAGACCCTCTGTTCTCATCTTTACAAAAGTGAAACTGTGTATTGTTCCTAGGTGGAAGCCATTATCTGCTGTTTGATCGGGTGTCTCAGATCCTTCAAGATCATGGCCATAATGTCACCATGCTTCATTTTGGAAGACAGCTTATGATCCAAAGTATGACTTTTGTAATTGTTGAATTCTCCTATACCAGACAAAGAAAGACAATGCCTAATTTATATTATGCTTAGCACAAAATCTTTTTGAATCGAGTTGTTGAAGAAATGAAAAAATGTGCGTGTGTAAGTGTGTGATTATGTTAAATCCTGGATATCTTATAAGATTCAGTAGACTTGGCCTCCACATGCCGTATCACCTTTATCTGGGTAATTTCATTTTAGGCCAGCCTCTTTACATTATTATTGACAGTTTTGATAATTGCTAGTCTGTTTTGTGGTTTAAATTTGTACTGAACAGAAGTATTCAGCCATATTTAAGGCTTCTATTATGTAATTACAGCTGCTCCTCCTTTATCATAGGTTACTTTCTACTCCTGTTATGAGACCTGAAATTTAAGAAAGCTTCCTCAGGTTGTCAAAAGTTCTTGGGTCACTGAATCCACTGAATTTTAGTTCCAAAGAACTTCCTCAGTCTAGGACACAGAGGCCCAGAAAACTGAAGTGATTTGTTCAGGTTTACGTGGCAGGTTAACAGTAGAGTTGGGTGTATCTGGGACTTTAAACTCTGGGTTTCTTATTCAGACTAGCTAGAGCTATGATTCTTTAAAATATTCCAAAATTAATCAACTGTGATGAAAAACAGTCTGAACAATTATAGAATTCTGAAAATGAACTTCAGGTTTTGTCATTGTTCAGAATGTTTTCCAATAGTTTTGATCACCTCCTAGATTGGGTCCCGTATTGTTCACTGAATATCGTTCTATACATACCACTATGTATCTGCCTTGAATGTCAGTCAGGGTAGTTGAAGCACATGATCATTTCATTTCAGTGGGTTCTTTGGCTTTGAGGAACTATCGACAGCTTTTGTCTTTCTACCTGTTCTATAGAATCCAAAACAATTCACCGGATTCACGGTCCCCTTAGGTTTATCCTTGGGCCCAAGTTTTAATAGTCCATGTTTTAATGTTGCTTCAGTATTCACCTACCAATGGAAATAATTGAGGTTTTGAATGGAATATTAGTTTTTCTTTTAAGGAGTGGACTTGCATAGAGTTCTGACTAGACAATTCTTATCTCCTTCAGCCAGGTAAGTCAGCTTTCTTTGGGTGCGTAGGTAGGAGAGAAGATCAGCAGCTAATAAGGAGGTTCTGCCTTGGAATTCAGGTTTTGGATTGGACTCCTGGGCTCCTCCCTTTACCTATCAAGTGGTGCTCACTGGGCCTTGGGAGGGAAACATACAGTGTTTCAGTCTGTTGTCATCAGGTGAGGTCAGCTTCTTACTGTTTGGGACTTATAGAGCTTAGTAAGATACCACCACCTTTCCCTCTGAATTTTCCAACCAATTGAGAGAAAGTTATAGGGGTTAGACTGATGACGATCAAAATGTCACCTTCATCAAGCTGCTTGGGGACCTTATTTTTAGGCTTTATTATATGTCAAGGCTGAGCAGCGGCTTGGAAAGAGGCCCTGTATACCATGTGGGTATTGTTGTACCTCATCATTTATGGTGGCCATTCCAAGACCTGGGTGATATCCTCACATGTATGTGTGGAACTGTTCCCAGGAAGATCCAAACTCCAGAGCTTTTGCCTATGCAGATGTCTTTGGTGTTCTGGAATTCTGCCTTTGGAGTTCGAGCTTCTATGACCTCCCCAAAACCTGAACTCAGTCTCCTGCACTTGGGAAGACGGCCAGGCCAGATTTGGACACCTGC